TATAGCCATTTAATCAGAAATTAATTCGTACATTGACATACTATTATTATATAATACTTAAACCCTATTCAGATTGACCAGTTTTTATAGCAGAAGATTCTGTCCAGAATAACAGGTTGCATTTATTGCATTTCTCTTTATTTTCCTTTGATCTGAAACAATTCCTCAGTCTTTTACTTGACTTTCATATTCTAAATATGTTTGAAGATTATAAGTCAAAATATTTTGTTCCCCAGTTTGGATTTATGTGATGTTTTTTGTGATCAGATTTAGGTTACGCATCTTTAGTTGGAATATCACAGAACTGATTATGTTCTTCTCTTTCCATTTTTTCAGTTATCCCACAAGTTTGATGTCTTCCACTACCTGTTATATTCCTTTTGATATCTTATTAATGTAATATCTTCCAGGCTTGTCCATTGAGAAGTTTTCACTTGGTAATTGCTATGGATTGAATTGTGTATCCCAAAAAGATGTTGAAGTCCCAGTTCCTGGTACATATAAATGTGACCTTACTTGGAAATAGGGTCTTTGCAGATGTAATCAAGTTAAGCTGAGGTCATTAGGGTGAGCCTAATACAATATAACTCATGTTCTTATAAGAAGAGGGAAATTTGGATACAGACACACAGGGAGAACATCATGTAACAACCAAAACAGTTATGTTAGAGATGTGGCTGCAAGCCAAGGAACACAAAGTGTTGATGGCTACCAACAGAAACAAGGAAAAGGCAAGGAAGGTTAGCCCTGCTGACACCTTGATTTTGGACTTCTAGCCACCAGAATTAGGAGATAATAAATTTCTGTTGTTTTAAGCCTCCCAAGTTGTACTTTATTACCACAACCCTAAGAAAATAATAGAGTAATTAGTAAGTGTTTTATGGGGAGGTATTTTTTTCAATTTATTCATTTACTTAAGTCAATATGGACTCATAGAGTCTTATTTATTCTATGTTTTAATTAATTACTACCAGTAATTAATTGTGATGCTCAGATTGTCCCAGATTTGGCCAGTGGGATCTTCTTTCAGGTTGCTTTCTGTGTTCTTTTACACGTCCCTATTATTTTTGGAGCATTTTGGTACTTTTGGAACAAGGTGTTCCATTCCATCTTGCCTGACCCTTGAATCAGTCATTTCTCCAAGGAGCCTGAGTTCCTTTTAGTGAAAAACCATTTAGAAACCATCTGAGTGGGGTTCCTGGGTGGCTCAGTCAATTAAGCATCTGCCTTCGGCTCAGGTCATGATCTCAGGGTCCTGGGCTTGAGCCCTACATCGGGCTCCCTGCTCAGCGGAAGTCTGCTTCTCCCTCTGCCTCTTCCCCGCTTGTGCTATCTCTCGCTCCTTCTCTCTCTCAAAGAAATAAATAAAATTTTTAAAAAGAAAAAAGAAACCATTTGAGTATTAGGTATACTCATTGATGTTGGGATATCACAGCTGCCAAACCACATCAGTGTACAGAGCTAGGAAATAGATGTATGTATATACATACTTAACCGATATGTACACACACATTTACATCTGTATTAATTTCTGTATCTATATATATTAAAAACCGTGAGTTCACGTTCTCTCCAATCCTAATCCAACACCACAGGATTCATTCTAGTTTTCTCCCTTTCTCTGTTTGTAATTGGTTTTTCGAACAGTGCAAAACGTTGTCCCCTTTATCTTCAATATAATCACTTACTTGATCAATCCCTGTGTGTAGGGGTGCTTGGAGGGCTCAGTCAGTTAAGCATCTGCCTTCGGCTCAGGTCATGATCTCAGGGTTCTGGAATCAAGCCCTGCATCGAGCTCCCTACCCAGTGGGGAGTCTGCTTCTCCCTCTCCCTCCACCCCTCCCCCCTCTGTTCATGCTTGCTCTCTCAAAAAAAAAAAAAAAAAAAATCCCTGTGTGTAGCCAGACTCCCAGCACTTCCATGCCTACTCATCCACCTCTGGGCTTTCTCTGTATCTTGCTTCAGCATCACATGCAATGTCTTCCTCATATTTTCCTCAACCCATTTTGGCTCCATCATCTTACTCTAGGCTACCAAGTCTTTTTTTTTATCTCCAGCTAATGGATTTTGTGCTAAAGTGTTCAAGAAGGGATTTTTCTCTATTTTCTTGAACACATGAAACATAACTGTTTGGTTTTTGTCAGATAATTCCAATACTGGCTTCATTTGTTACAAGTCTGTTTCTAATGTCCTTTTTCTTTTAGGTCATTTGGTCCCATCTCTTGTAATGCTGGCTAATTTTGTATAGAGTGCTAACATTGTATATGAAAGTGTTTATAGAGTCTCTAGATGATTTCTCTTCCTCCAGAGAGTATAAACCCTTTCCCTTGCTAGGGTTTGCAGATATTATGAGAGCTGATCATGTTAATCAGATCTGAAACTGAACTGACTTGGGCTGAATTGCAGTTTGGGCATGACTTTATCTTCTTCTGGTTCTTCCCAGCTTCTGGCACATAGAGTTTTCCCACTGAGAGGCTGGAATGATCACAAGGGCCCCTCTTCTACTGCATGATTTGAACTCTAATCCTTGTCTCCTTAACACATTAGACTGTGTTAAACTACTCTTTTCAGAAGTTTCCTGCTTGGCTTCTTAATTCCCTCTTCTTCAGAATTGAGGAAATATCTTGAAGAGCTAAAATAACATTGTTGAGCCATTTCTGTCCTTTCTTTTTCACCAGAATCTTGGCCTTTCAAGTCTCTAATTTCTCTCTCTATAGACCAGCAAGACTGTTAAAAAGCTCTGCTTTTTCTTCATATTTAGTAGTGGTCCTCTGCCTTGTCCTTATACCTGAATTCTCAAATTCTTACCTGCCTCCCCCAAATCAGCAGAACTCAGAAAAAAGGTAGTTGCGGAATGTCAGCTTAGCTTTCTTTCCTCATGGTCTCCCCTGCTGTAGGATTTGCCACTTAAGTTTTGGTTGCCTCAGCACTCCCCAGCACATTGAGACATGTGTGCATGAATGCATGTGTGTGCAAGTGTGTGTGTGTATATATCTGGCTTTTCCTAGTTGTTCTTGGTGGGAGCATTGCTCTACTGCAAGCTACTCAAGTATATCCAGAAGCAAAAGCTTAACTCTAGTATATTCTTTTCTGTTCTGTTCCTTTTCTAAAATAATGTTTCTTGTTCGATCCCAAAATGATTTTACAATCTAATGATCCAAGACTCTTAACCAAAAGAAAAAGACACTGTTTTAAGGCATTACATTAAGATAATCAGATAATAGGATTTCAGCCAAGTGATGAAGGTTAACATCAACAATGGTATGTCGTATTGATTATGTGTACCCTTGATATGACATGATAACAGTAGCACTTTACCTCTATGGTCTTCCTCCCAAAAACCTATAACCACAGTCTAATCATGAGAAGGACATCAGGCAAATCTCAAATTTGAGGAACAGTCTGTAAAATACCTGACTGGTACCATCAAGGTCATCAAAAACAAGGAAAATCTAACAAGCTCACAAACAAGAGGGACCTAAGAAGACATGACTATTTAAATGTACTGTGGTTTCCCACATGGGATCCTGGACTAGAAAAAGGACATTAGATAAAAACTGAGGAAATCTGCCTGAAGTATGTGGACTTTAGTTAATAATAATTATCATTTGCCCTAAGGGACCTTGGAGACAGCCCTTTCCAGTGGATATTGAGGTCTGACCTCATGCTATCTCCAGTCTAGGCTGCAGACAGGTATGCGGGCTGCCTTTGGAAAGCCCCAGAGCACAGTAGCCAGGGTCCACATTGGCCAAGTTATCATGTCCATCTGTACCAAGCTGCAGAAAAGGAACATGTGATTGAGGCCCTACGCAGGGCCAAGTTCAAGTTCCCTGGCCACCAGAAGATCCACATCTCCAAGAAGTGGGGCTTTACTAAGTTTAATGCGGATGAATTTGAAGACATGGTGGCTGAAAAGCAGCTTATCCCAGATGGCTGTGGGGTCAAATACATCCCTAATTGTGGACCCTTGGACAAATGGAGGGCTCTGCACTCATGAGAACCTCGGCACTGCCCCCTCCCTATTCATGCCCACCAATAAAACCTACTTCCTGTCAAAAAAAATAATAATTATCAAAATTGGTTCATTAATTGTGACAAATGTATCATACTAATGTTAGAGGTTAATAAAACAGATAATTGGGGACTCTGTCACAGTAATTTTTTTTTAAAGATTTTATTTATTTATTAGAATGAGAGATAGAAAGCACGAGAGGGAAGAGGGTCAGAGGGAGAAGCAGACTCCCTGCTGAGCAGGAAGCCCAATGTGGGACTCGATCCTGGGACTCCAGGATCATGATCTGAGCCGAAGGCAGTCGCTTAACCAACTGAGCCACCCAGGCGCCCTATCACAGTAATTTTTTATACCTAAAACTGTTCTAAAATTAAAAGTTTCTTTCTTTCTTTTTTTTTTTTAAGATTTTATTTATTTTTGACAGAGCACAAGCAGGGGGAACAGCAGAGAGAGAGGGAGAAGCAGACTGCCTGCTGAGCAGGGAGCCCGATGCGGGGCTCGATCCCAGGACCCCGAGATCATGACCTGAGCCAAGGGCAGATGCTTGGCCGTCTGAACCACCCAGGCGCCCCTAAAAGTTTATTTCTTAAAAAAATCCATACTATTTGACTTCCTAGGCTATACTTTACCTTATGGATTTGGTTTTTGTCTGTCTTCTTAGTCATTGCCATATCTCCAGTACCTAGAAGATTGGCCAGCACATTTAGGCCCTCCATAAATATTGGGTTGGTTAGATTGGTAGAAGAGAGCAAAGGAGGATTAAGTACAGATAACTTCTAAGTTTCTAACTTGGGCAACTGTATGGATGGTAATATTCATTTAGGGAGTACAAAAAGCAGAGATTGGAAGCTATTCCATGCTTGACAGATGATTTGTTTTGTTTTGTACCAGGGATGTAGTTAATAATAATGAGGAAATCTGGTCAAAGTCAAAATGGTAACATCTTGGTCCTTTTCTCAGAGGAATAACTCTTCTTTTTCTCTTTTAGGCATATAAAACCTTTGCTAATCGAGTGAACAATTTAAAGAAAAAGCTGGATCAATTGAAGTCAACCCTTCCTGATCCTGAAGAATCACCAGTCCCTTCCCCAAGCATGGATGCTCCTTCTCCAACTGGTTCTGAGTCTCCTTTTCAGGGAATGGGAGGTGAGGAATCCCAGTCACCAGCCATGGAGAGTGAGAAATCTGCCACACCTGAGCCTGTGACAGATAATCGTGATGTAGAAGACATGGAACTCTCAGATGTGGAAGATGATGGGTCAAAAATCATTGGTATGTCCTTATGCAATTAATAGGCAACTTGTTCCTTATCTGTTTTGCTTTCCCACCAATGAATCTATCACAGGTTGGTATTAAAAGATAGTTCAATCCTTGTAAGGATTAGAACAGCAAGATACCATTATCCTGGTTCAGGATTTGGTATGCCACATGGGCTAAAAATCATTGCTCAAGATCTGGTCCGTTCAGTATGGTAGCCACTAGCTACATGTGACTATTGAGCATTTGAAATATGACTTGTCCAACTTGAGATGTGCTCTAATTAAATACACAGGGGAGTCTAGAAACTTAGTACCCCAAAAAAGTAAAGATACCTCAATTATTTTTGTATTTATAGCATATTGAAATGAAAATATTTGGGAGATATTGAGATAAAATACATAATTTTACCCATTTCTACTTTTTTTAAATGTGGCCACTAGAAAATTTAAATTTGTGTGGCTTGAGTTACATTTCTATTGAACAGCACTGTTCTAGAGGGAGGGGCACTTATACTGGAATACCTTATTCTCTGTCATTCTTGACCTTCAAGATTCCAAAGCCAGTTTCTTAATTATGCTTTCAAAATTAACCTGGCTGAGTGGGTAGAGCATGTGGCTCTTGATCTCAGGGTCGGGAGTTTGTGCCCCACATTGGGTATAGAAATTACAAACATACACACATACACACACAAACGAAATTAACCTGGATCGGTGCATTGTTTCTATGACACCCCTAGCTTTTATAATTATTCTTCTTAGGCAGTTGGACTGTTCTGTTCAATTTAGTGCATTCTCCATATATAGTGCATAGCCTGTAAAGTATTAAAAGGAGTATATTGTAAAGGCAATTTATTGCAGTTTCAAGTTAGTGCCTATAATTGTATCCCCCAGTTAGGCCAATTTCAGGAAGTCAAAGAAAAATACAAGAAAGTATGTACAGAGTTTCTATGTCTTAGAAAGCTTTCAGGTTAATGGAAAAGAAAGGACAGGATAATTTATGACTATAAATATCATTACTAAAAGAACACAAATGTTTACCAAATAATAACATGATCCCAGAAATGTACAAATTTAATACACAAATGCTAAGAAAATGCAAAGAAATCTTTGAAAAGATAAAAAATGAATTTGGGAAATTTATTTTAAGCAGGTATCAAAGGTGAGAAGGAACATAAAGAGTATGACTTATTTAAAAATCATGAAGTGAATGATTTTTCTCTAAAGCATAGTGCTTTATACCCCCAAATCAGGAACTAGTAGGACATGTTTCATACTGGAAGCAGAGTGTGGAAAGCAGTAATGCAGTATCACCCCTTTTCTTTAAACAGTAGAGGACAGGAAGGAAAAACCTGTGGAGAAGTCAGCTGTATCTACTTCTATGTCTACAAAGCCAACAGAAAGTATCTCAAAGGCCTCTTCATGTACCCCAGTGCCTGTGACCATGACAGCAACCCCACCTCTTCCAAAGCCTGTGAATACTTCTCTCCTGTCCCCTTCTCCAGCGTTGGCTTTGCCAAACCTGGCTAATGTGGATCTGGCAAAGATCAGTTCTATCCTTAGCAGCCTAACATCAGTCATGAAAAATACTGGTAAGTAAACCCCATAAAGAGAATAAAAAGCTTATTTTCATCTTTCTAATTGAGCCATCAGTCTGTTTTTTTGTTTTTTTCTTAAATTAAAAGTAATTTTTTAAATCAAAAAATAAAACCAATACATGGTCATTATAGAAAAATAAGAAAATAAGAATAAAATAAATACCTGCAGTCCTACTACCCCAGGGGACACCACTTGTGTCTAACCTGTGTGTGTGTGTGTGTGTGTGTGTGTGTGTGTGTGTGTGTGTGTGTGTGAGAGAGAGAGAGAGAGAGAGAGAGAATGTTTTGGTAGATTAAATATTTACAATAATTTTTCTTTCAATAATTGAAGTATATTGTATATGAATTTATTTAAGCCTTTATTGGTAGGCATCTCTGGTATGTTTCCAGTTTTTCACTATTATAAATAATGAACAACCTTGATGCTAAACTTTATGCACAACCTTTCCTAAATGATTGAGTATATAGGGCTTTTTTTTTCTTCATGGCGATTTTAATGAAAATATATAAAAGTAGAGCACCCACTCATCCTCAGCAGTAGAAACACATGACCAGTCTTGTTTCTGCTATGCCTTACCCGATATTGATTATTTTGAAGAAAATCCCAATTATTTAATTTCTTTATAAAAACTTAAATATACTTTTCTAAAAGACAAAGGCAAAAAAATGAACATGTAGGTTTTTAGTCCTTTCATGTTAAAACTAAAATGATTACCAAAAATGTACTACTTTATGTGCAAGCACATGAAAGTTCCCATTGTTCCTCAACCTCTATAACACTATTTTGTCTTATTTTAATACTTTGTCAAATTCGGTCTTAAAAAGTCATTTATTTAGGGATGCCTGGCTGGCTCAGTCAGTAGAGCATCCAACTCTCTCTCTTTTTTTAACATGTAATCTCTACACCAGGCGTGGGGCTCGAACCCACAACCCTGAGATCAAGTGTCTCATGCTCCACTGACTCAGCCAGCCAGGTGCCCCAAGCATGCACCTCTTTTTTTTTTTTTTTTAAGACTTTATTTATTTGTCAGAGAGAGAGAGAGCACAAACGGGGGAAGCGGCAGGCAGAGGAAGAAGCAGGCTCCCTGCTGGGCAAGGAGCCTAGGGTGGGACTCAATCCCAGGACCCTGGGATCATGACCTGAGCTGAAGGCAGACACTTAACTGACTGAGCCACTCAGGCGTCCCAGCATGCTACGCTTGATCTCATGGTTTGAGTTCAAGCCCCATGTTGGGTGTAGAGATTACTTAAAAAAAAAAAAAAAAAACAAATCCGGCACCTGGTTCGCTCAGTCAGTTGAGTATCCAACTCTTCGGATCAGGTCATGATCCCAGGGTTGTGAGATAGAGCCCCACGTTGGGCTCCCCACTGGGTGTGGAGCCTGCTTAAGATTCTCCCTGGGGCGCCTGGGTGGCTCAGTCATTAAGCATCTGCCTTCAGCTCAGGTCATGGCCCCAGGGTCCTGGGACCCAGCCCCGCATCGGGCTCCCTGCTCCGCGGGAGGCCTGCTTCTCCCTCTCCCACTCCCCCTGCTTGTGTTCCCTCTCTCACAGTGTCTCTCTCTGTCAGATAAATAAATAAAATCTTTAAAGGAAAAAGAAGATTCTGTCTCCCCACCTCCCTCTGCCCCTCTTGCCCCCACTCTCTCTGGAAAAAAAAAAAAAAGTCATTTGTTTTAATTTACATCTCTTTGATTAAGATTCGTTTAAAACTTTTTCATTTGTTTACCATTTAGTTTTCCTTGTGAAATACCTGTTCATATTTTTGGTCATTCAAAAATTATTTTCTCTTCTTTTTATATACTTTTATTCTATATTAAAAATTAACCCAGGGGCACCTGGGTGGCTCAATCGTTAAGCGTCTGCCTTCAGCTCAGGTCATGATCCCAGGGTTCTGGGATTGAGCCCTGCATCGGGCTCCCTGCTCCACAGGAAGCCTGCTTCTCCCTCTCCCCCCTGCTTGTGTTCCCTCTCTCACTGTGTCTCCCTCTGTCAAATAAATAAAATCTTAAAAAAACATTTAACCCAATGTTTTAAAATATAAAGATGTAGGGGAACCTGGCTGTCTCAGTCCCTGGAGGGTGCGACTCTTGATCTTGGGGTTGTGAGTTCAAGCCCCATGTTGAGTGTGGAGCCTACTTAAAAAAAAAAAAAATGTAAAGATGTAAAGGAAATTGCTTATATGATCTCATTTTAAAGGCCATTTTAAAAGCAACATATTAATCACATAGAATTATGCAGTGGCCGAGTTATACAACTGTAATGGCTCTGATCGTAATCAGCCATTAATACTTACTGAGCACCTACAGGACTCTGAGGTATAGGTTACATTTGGTAGAGAAAAAAATACGTTCCCTAAATTTCTTTCTACTGGCTCTTAAAACTGACAAATACATATGAAAAAAAACCTTAATACTTGTTTACTTTAGGGGTGTTCCAAGTCGACAGAAGCAGATTTTAATCTAATTTTCAATTTTTCCTTTGTACAAGCCATGATACGCCTTATTTGTGGATTTGTCACAGAAACATTCCTGATTGAGTGGAAAGTATCATGAATTTACCGGTCATTTTGAATCGCATTTTCTTGAGTTAATCTTTCTGCCACCAGGGGTCAGTCCTGCATCAAGACCGTCTCCAGGAACGCCTACAAGTCCCAGCAACCTTAGCAGTGGCCTGAAAACACCTGCACCTGCCCCGACAACATCTCACAATCCTCTGGCAAATATCCTCTCAAAGGTGGAGATCACCCCAGAGAGCATTCTGTCTGCTCTTTCCAAAACCCAGACACAGTCAGCCCCAGCACTGCAAGGTAAACTGACATATGCCAGAGGGACTTGAATTGTGAGTGTTTGCCTCTGGCCTAATCCTGGATTCCATTTCTGAAGAATCCAAAGCCATGGAATGTATAGTACAGTTAGTTTATTATCTTCTTCGTATGTATCATCTATAAGCTGGCACTAATAGAATTATAAAATGTCAAAGCTAAAAGGGACTTAATACCGGCTAGTTTAATCCCCTCCTTTTCAGGTGAGATTAAGGCTAATGAGGTGATGTGATCTGCTTAAGGTCACACATTGATCTATTCAGTGATGAACTGAGACTAAAAGCCAGTTTTTTTGACTGGAGTCCAGTGTTCTTTCACCTACACCATGACCCCCCCCCAGCCCCCCGGGGGTTGCATTTATTCCAGCTCTCATAATATATATTGAGGTTTACATTTTTAGTGTTAACCAAAGCTAAAGATAGTAAGAAAGGTCAGTCTACTATCAAAAATCTTATGAGATGGGGCGCCTGGGTGGTGCAGTCTGTAAAGTGTCTGACTCTTGGTTTCGCCTCAGGTTGTGACCTCAGGGCTGTGAGATCAAGCCCCGAGTCAAACTCTGCACTTAGCGCAGAGTCTGCTTAAGACTCTTTCCCTCTGCCCCTCTCCTCTTCTCTCTCTCTTTCTTTCTCAAATAAATAAATCTTAAAAAAAAAAAAAAAAAATCTTCTGAGGGCGCCTGGCTCAGTCGGTTAAGCATCTGCCTTCAGCTCAGGTCATGATCCCAGAGCACTGGGATCAAGTCCCGCATCAGGCTCCCTGCTCAGCGAGGAGTCTGCTTCTCCCTCTCCCTCTGCCTGCCACTCCCCCTGCTCATGCTCTCTCTCCATCTGTCCCTCTCTGTAAATCTCTCTCAAATAAATAATAAAATCTTTAAAAAGAAATCTTATGAGACAATTTTCTTAAAGTCCTGATGTTTTATAGAGGTCTCTATTTATAGGTATAGCACATCTTTTTTGTGTTCGCCTACCTATAATCTCTACCTTATTTGAACCTCTCTGTTCAGCTTTGCTAATTATCTGTTCTTTGTCTAAAACTGTCTGCTTCTAACATTTTTTCATAAGGCTTACCGGCTCTCTCTTCTCCAACCTTCCAGATACCAACACAGTCTTTATTTAACACCTAAATATAATTATGCAATGAATTACAGATACCAGAGCAGTATCTTCAATATAGCAATTTAACTTTGTATAGAGGCTCTCAGCCAGGAACCTCCAGGGGACATTTGGCAGTGTCTGAACACATTGTTGTTTGTCACAACTGGGGTGGCAGGGAAGTGCTACCGCATCTAGTGGGTAGAGGCCTAGGGATGCTGTGAAACACCCCACAATACAGAGGACAGCCCCCACAACAAGCAATAATCCAGCCCCAAATCCCGGTACTGCTAAAGTTGAGAAACCCTGCTTTATATGAATCTAGAGCAGAAGAGGTTTCTTTTCATTTTATTTCCTAAACTCTTCTTTAAGTGGATCAGCCAAGGACTAGATTATAGTGAACTCTCCTTTAGATAAGATAGAGAAGATTTTTGTTACACACAATTCAGTGCTATTAAATAGTAATCCATAGCTACCATATACTCGCAACAGCAATCAAGGATTAATGCTATACTACAGCATATCTAATAGTATGAATATTTTAGAGATAATTAGTTTGAGGGATCGGCATGGTTACGATTTCTCCCTTCTAGGCCCGCTTCTGTCACCATCCTACAGTTACAGTAAAAATGTTGAATTCACTTGTTTTTATTAGCCTCTTATATAGGTATAATAACATTTACAGCTTTTCCTTTCAATAGATTATTATACCGTGTCTTATGGACTTTCTCATCAGGCAAAATTTGAGTAGAACTAGGTGTGTTCTGACAGAATGTTTTTCTGGAGATGCCAGGAAACAACCTATGTGGAGTAACAGGGTAGTTCATCATCTTCCATTTTCTTGTGGAAAGTAGAATTCTTGACTTTTAAAAAACTGTAAAAGGAATCTTTTAGAATCTCTGATTGTGTCACCCACAGCTATTATTGATAGGTTTTCAACACAGAAGAACAACTTCAGTGGGCACAAGGGCCATAGAGTATAGCCCGTTAAGACTGAAGAAAAGTAATATTTAGTGGTTTAGTGGTAAGAGACCATCTCACCTATTACCAGAAATCTGAGTAGTGTCTATCTTAACAAGATTTCATCCCACAATATCTGAAAGATACGCGGAACTGTCTTTTAAAAACCATGTGACGTCAGGGCGCCTGGGTGGCTCAGTTGGTTAAGCGACTGCCTTCGGCTCAGGTCATGATCCTGGAGTCCCGGGATCGAGTCCCACATCGGGCTCCCTGCTCAGCAGGGAGTCTGCTTCTCCCTCTGACACTCCTCCCTCTCATGTGCTCTCTATCTCTCATTCTCTCTCTCAGATAAATAAGTAAAATATTAAAAAAAAAAAAATCACGTGACATCATATATCACATTCTAGTGCTTGAGGACTTCTGGTTTTGGTATGAACAGTGGCTACTAAGAATTAAATCAAACTGTTAGTGGGGGTAAGTTACGTAGCCAGAGAACTTTTTGGAAATGGAATGTGGAGTTTATTTTTCAAGAGGATAATTGAAATAAACGATATTTCAATTATTCAGATATTAGTGAATATTGGATAACAAAAATTACACACTTATTACATAAAAATTGTTGGCAGTTAAAAATGTTCCAAGGAAGGGCGCCTGGGTGGTTCAGTGGGTTAAGCATCTGCCTTCAGCTTGGGTCATGATCCCAGGGTCCTGGGATCGAGCCCCACATCGGGCTCCCTGCTCAGTGAGGAGCCTGCTTCTCCCTCTCCCTCTGCTGCTCCCCCTGCTTGTGCTCTCTCTCTCTGTCAAATAAAATCTTAAAAATGTTCCAAGGATGGGGGCACCTGGGTGGTGCAGTCTGTTAAGCGTCCTACTCTTGGTTTCTGCTCAGGTGGTAATATCAGGGTCTCGTTCTCAGGGTCGTGAGATCGAGCCCCACGCCACCCTCCATGCTCAGTGCAGTCTGCTTAAGTTTCTCTCTCCCTCTCCCCATGCCCCTCTCCCCAACTTACTCTCTAAAATAAATAAATAAATCTTTTTAAAAAAATGTTCCAAGGATAGAGTGATCTCAGAATTCTTCAGAGCTTAAGTCTCTTAGTAAATATTGGATTAAAATTAAAATTTTGAAGAAACATTAATTAAAGTATCCTCTGAAATACTGTTTTCTGTCACCACCAGAAATTGGGTAAATTTTCCAAAATACGACTGAATTTATAGGACCACCTATTTATCTCTTTGTCAAGTATTTTTCTAAAAAATTTTCTACAGGAGCAGTTTGCTTTGGTGGACTTCAGCCTTTGCCCCAAAGAATTCTTTCTCAGAGCTTCTGAGGTTTTGTCTATCAGTGAGTAGGTTTGAATCTCATCAGTGTCAAGCTGGGTAGATGCATAATTCGTGAATTTTCCAAGCTATAAGGTGGTCTAGCTTTGTAATTCTTTGTGGTGTGTGTTTGTATGTTTACTACTGCTACATTTTACAACCAAAAATGATAGCTAAAAGCACTGTTTCCCCAAAGCCTAGCAAGGGATGCTTGAAGAAAGTGACCCTGTTGAAATAAATTTCAGCAATGTGCATACACTATCTCTCTCTTGAGAATTAACAGTGTATGTTAACTTATTAGAAACAGTTGTGGAGGCTGGAAAGGAAGGGTTGGACAGAATATCTATTTGCATTTAGAGAGATAGTATCATAGATCAGATGTTAAGACATACTAGCTTAAGGTGTTATTTTAAGGATAATTTTGCCTCCTTTCTTTTCCTGCTTTGTCTTGTTTTAAACTATGAATGATTCTGACACTAAAATCTCCCCTTTCCTGTTGCCTTTTATTGTGCCATGTTGGACTTGTTTGATGACTGTACTAGAAACATTTCAGTAATTTGCTCTCATTGAGAAATAGGTCCAGCATTTTCTATGACATTTAGCCATTGCTTGTTTGGTGTGGATTCCCTTTGGCCTCATATTTTAATGTTTATCTGGTTCCCACTGGAATGAATGAGAATATCCGATTAGCGTACATTGTTTTTCTTGTAAGGTAGGCAGTTGTTCTTTTTAATTCCTCTGGTCTCTTTTTCTACAGGCCTGTCATCTTTACTTCAAAGTGTTACTGGGAACCCAGTCCCAGCCAGTGAAGCTGCATCCCAGAGCACTTCAGCTTCCCCTGCCAACACCACAGTCGCTAGCATAAAAGGAAGAAATCTGCCCTCCAATAATACCCAATCCTTTATTCCCAAAAGCTTCAGTTATTCTCCTAATTCATCAACTTCTGAAGTCTCTTCAACATCAGCCAGCAAGGCCTCAATTGGGCAAAGCCCAGGGCTCCCAAGCACTACTTTTAAGCTTCCATCCAACTCTATTGGGTTTACAGGAACCCACACTACTAACCCTGCTGCCCCACCTACTGAAGTTGCCATGTGCCAATCTTCAGAGATCTCCAAGCCAAAGCTGGAGTCCGAGTCCACCTCTCCAAGCCTGGAAATGAAGATCCACAACTTCTTAAAAGGTAATCCTGGTTTCAGTGGCTTAAACTTAAACATCCCAATCCTGAGCAGCTTGGGGTCCAGTGCCCCAACAGAAAGCCACCCCTCAGACTTCCAGCGTGGCCCTACTAGCACGTCAATCGACAACATTGACGGAACCCCTGTGCGGGATGAAAGGAGTGGGACACCCACCCAGGATGAGATGATGGACAAGCCCACATCCAGCAGTGTAGACACGATGTCCCTGCTTTCTAAGATCATTAGCCCTGGTTCCTCAACACCCAGCAGTACAAGATCACCACCCCCTGGGAGAGAGGAAAGCTATCCCCGGGAACTCTCCAATTCTGTACCTACATATCGACCTTTTGGCCTGGGCAGTGAATCACCCTATAAGCAGCCTTCTGATGGATTGGAGAGACCATCTTCCCTGATGGACTCTTCGCAGGAAAAGTTCTATCCAGATACTTCTTTCCAGGAAGATGAGGATTACCGAGATTTTGAGTATTCAGGGCCTCCACCCTCTGCCATGATGAACCTAGAGAAGAAGCCAGCCAAGTCTATCCTGAAGTCAAGCAAGCTTTCTGATACCACCGAATACCAGCCAATCCTCTCCAGTTATAGCCACAGGGCCCAAGAATTTGGGGTAAAGTCTGCCTTCCCTCCATCTGTAAGGGCCCTCCTGGACTCTAGTGAGAATTGTGACCGTCTGTCCTCTTCTCCTGGGCTCTTTGGTGCCTTCAGCATAAGAGGGAGTGAACCGGGGTCTGACCGGTCACCATCACCGAGTAAGAATGATTCATTTTTCACCCCTGACTCCAACCACAGTAGCTTGTCTCAGTCTACCACTGGGCATCTCGGTTTGCCACAGAAGCAATACCCAGACCCTCCTCACCCAGTCCCACATCGTTCCCTTTTCTCTCCGCAGAATACCCTTGCCGCTCCCACGGGCCACCCACCCACACCAGGCGTGGAGAAAGTCCTGGCCCCCACCATTTCCACCACGTCGACGATTGAGTTTAAGAATATGCTTAAAAACGCCTCCCGAAAGCCCTCAGACGATAAGCATTTTGGCCAGGCACCCAGCAAGGGCACTTCAAGTGATGGTGTCAGTCTCTCAAACCTCGCCCAGCCCAGCTTGACAGCCACTGATCAGCAGCAACAAGAAGAGCACTACCGCATAGAAACCCGAGTCTCCTCCTCCTGCTTAGACTTGCCTGATAGCACCGAAGAGAAGGGAGCCCCTATAGAAACCTTGGGTTATCATAATGCATCCAATAGGAGGATGTCAGGGGAGCCGATACAGACCGTAGAGTCTGTCCGAGTTCCTGGGAAGGGAAATAGAGGACACGGGCGTGAGGCTTCAAGGGTGGGTTGGTTTGATCTGAGCACCTCAGGCAGCTCCTTTGACAATGGCCCCTCAAGTGCCTCTGAGTTGGCATCCCTTGGGGGTGGGGGCAGCGGAGGCCTCACTGGCTTTAAAGCGGCACCATACAAGGAACGGGCACCCCAATTTCAGGAAAGTGTCGGCAGCTTCCGTTCCAACAGTTTCAACTCAACATTTGAGCATCATCTCCCCCCATCCCCCTTGGAACATGGGACACCCTTCCAGAGAGAGCCAGTGGGGCCATCATCTGCCCCACCTGCCCCTCCTAAGGATCATGGTGGTATCTTCTCTCGAGATGCACCCACTCATCTACCCTCTGTGGATCTTTCGAACCCCTTCACAAAGGAGGCGGCCCTGACCCATGCTGCCCCACCCCCTCCTCCTGGAGAGCACAGCGGAGTTCCTTTCCCCACCCCACCCCCTCCTCCACCCCCTGGGGAACATAGCAGCAGTGGTGGGAGTGGTGTTCCCTTTTCTGCTCCACCTCCTCCTCCACCCCCTGTTGACCACTCCGGGGTTGTACCCTTCCCAGCCCCACCACTGGCAGAGCACGGAGTGGCGGGAGCTGTGGGAGTATTTCCCAAGGACCATAGTTCCCTCCTTCAAGGGACCCTGGCTGAGCATTTTGGGGTGCTCCCAGGACCCAGGGACCATGGGGGCCCCACCCAACGGGACCTCAACGGCCCTGGCCTTAGCCGTGTACGAGAGAGCCTCAGCCTACCCTCCCATTCTCTGGAGCACCTGGGCCCAGCCCATGGAGGAGGAGGTGGGGGAGGCAGCAACAGCAGCAGTGGCCCCCACTTGGGTCCCTCACACAGAGACGCCATCAGCCGGAGTGGTATGATTTTGCGGAATCCCCGGCCAGACTTTCGGCCTAGGGAACCTTTTCTCAGCAGAGACCCGTTCCACAGTCTAAAGAGACCCAGGCCACCTTTTGCTAGGGGCCCTCCGTTCTTTGCACCAAAACGCCCATTCTTCCCTCCCAGGTACTGATGGAAACCAAGGGAAAAGCATTTTGAACCAGTCTAGAGAGCATTGGAAGTAGGAGTTTGGTTTATTGTTGTTTTTATTTGTTTTCCTTCCTTTGATTTATTTTTTTTTAATGACAAAGGGCCTCCCTTCCAAATTAAAAAGTCATACATGCTTCCATTTCACTATTCCATCCAGTCCTCCTTCCCACTGCACTTACCAACCTTCCCCAAGCTACTTGTATTTTAAAGGGGGCGGAGGGGGGGGGACAAAGAAACACAACCAAAGCCACTTCACTTGGCTGGGGGTTTGAGGGGTGGGGAGGAAAACAAATCTTATTTTACCCCATTTATTGAAGAGTATTATTACATTTGAAATAAAACTTCCATCAGTACAGAGAATAATATGTGCAATGTTGGGATGTTATTTTGGGTTTGGCTTATCACGTAGTCAATAGAAGGACTCCTGTCCCCTTCTCTCTCCCATTAAGTAACTGCTGTGACCAGCGTGGCCCCCTTTCCTGTATGCTCTGTGCGCTGCTGACAGGCCAAAAGATGTTGCAAGGGAAGATAGGTGGGAGACCATGGACCTGTCGAGGTTGTTTGTTTTGTTTTTAAAGACATACTGAAGTTGGGTTCTTTACCTTTCTCCTAAAATCTTAATTTAAAAAAAATCAGCCTCTTCTAAAGGACTATCCATCATTAATTTTGAGGGAGATACAGATCTCATTCTATCCTAGTAAAAATTACCCCCCTTTATCCTTGGAATGAAAGAGCGGGGACTGGCTATAATCTCCAGGTTAAAATAAGGTATAGCTCCAGTACAGAGTAGAGAAAGGAACCGGTAAGCGGTGCACTGTGACCTGCCCATCCCTCATAAACGAGAATGGGAGACTTTCTGAGGTAGTTTGACATGTCTTGCCCCAAGCTCTTGCTTCGTGTCTTGCTTGCTTGCTTGACTTTTTCTCCCTCAATTTTCACTTCTGCTTTGGCCGGAAAGAAAGTCATTACAGATGACAGTTGATACAAAGACGCAACTAAAATATTATCCCTGTATTTTTTAAATGTAAAAGGTAGACATTTTTACCATGGTGCCTCCCTAATGTAAGTGATACTTGTTGGTGGTTTTTAGCAAGGGTTAACTACTAGGGAAAGGGAACTATTGGCTTGTATCTTTCTTTCCTCCTTGCCCTAGTCCTGTATTTAGCCCTGTTCTTGGTATTTCAAAGGAGAGGTTCAGTAGTATCTTTCAATGCTTTACACCTCTTTAGGTGTGTCTTAATGACAAGTGGGTATCACTGTACATACCTTTACAGAGAACCAGGAGGACCTGAGAAATCCAGATTTACCCCATTCTACAGCCAGCACATTTGAAGGCTCAAGCCTTATCCTCACCTTCCACTCCCAATAGGAAATAAAGATTTCTGCCCTTAGTCATTTTACACGAGAAGGGTGTGCTTTCCTTCTCCCCAAACTGAAAGAAAGGCTTCTTTGTATTTCTACAACTAGTACTGGGAAAAAAGACAATCAGTACGCTTTGAGTGTTTATAACTTTCTATCTGGGAATACTGAAAAGCAAAGATTGCTTTACTATTATTTTGTATTATTTAGTGTCTTACCCCAAGGTATACACACTGGTAATCTCCAGCTAGATAAGTAAAAATACGTGTTGTGGGTTGGGTTTTTGTTTTGTTTTTTAGGGAATCCTAGCAAGTTTCATATTTTCTTCCAAGTGAGCATAGAACTAACTGTAGGAGGTATGGGGGTTATTTTGGAGTCCTCTAGTGAAATACTAAAGATGGGGGAGAGTGGACAACGTAGTGACAGAAGATGATTCTTTGTGTCAGAATAAACTTGCTTTTCAGATAAAGAGCATCTTAAACCAGTTGTGCGTCATAGTTTGGGAGTTTTTGTGTAATTTATTCCATGTTATTTATTTGGGCTCACCAGGTGTTCTGTGGTTAGGAGGCTGCAAGTCCTTCATCTTCCTGATGCATTTCTGGTCTTAAGTCAACTGTTCTTTGACCCTCTCCAGCCTCTCTGCCCTGTAGCTCTCCCCACAAAAATGCATGATACCATGACCTTGTGTGTGGGATGGGGTATATAGTGTAGCAAAGAAAAGAAACAATATAGTTACCTTGAGTCCTGAGACATTTGTTTAGGGGAAAGTGTGATCAAGAGTAAGGGTAGGGGTGGGGGCGGAGGGTGAGGGAGAGTTCTAATTGATTCAAAATTGAAACTTTTTTTGCAGAAATTAAGTGGGATGTTTTTCATTCTAGAATAAAAGAATGTGAATTCTTTCTGCTGCTCTCGTTTAAGCTAAAAGTAGTGTTTACTTGAAAAGGCTCTCTGACCATTTGATTTTATCAGAAAATGTGGGGATGTCAGGGAAGTGGCTTCCTGAATGTTGGGGCAGGGTAATTGTCCTCAAAAGCATGATGACTAATACATGAAAGGAAGACCTTGTTGTACAGTTTAAAAGATGGACTTTAAAGGGTTGGGGTTTTTTTGCAGGGTGTTTTGCTTTTTAAGCTACAAAATCCTCATTGAGTTTGTTTCGGGACGGAAGTGAGGACTTGTATGTGACTGTCAGCTGTTAACTTTAAGGAAATCTGTCTACAGCAGTAAACGAAGACAACAATGTATATATGTGATATAGTGAAACAAAAAAAGACAATTCTGGTATTCATAACGTGAAACAAGGGGTTTTTATCCTTTCTGTGTCTGTGATTTAAAACTCCGTGCCCATGCTCTGACTTTTGTATTTCAACCTGAGTTTAAAAATATAATAAACAATTTTTTTTTTTTAAGAAACCATAATATAGTGTGTCTTGGCAAGGACATGATTTATATGAAAGCAGAATATGCGAAGTTGTTACTACGGTCCTTGGTGCTCACTGTAAAATCACAGACAGAGAATTGGGGGGGTGTTGTGAATACACTGGTACCACTTAATTCAGTGATAGTATCAGAAATCAAGTCCTTAAGTATTGTATAAGAGTTTACTCTTCGGTCAGCTTAGATGAGAGCCCTCTCCCTGCTCCCCTCTGCCCTCCCAAAAGATGAGCATAAATAGATTTTAGTTTGTTGCCAGGGAAGGTAAAATGATCAAGAGAGTAGGACTTTTATCCTTTCCGATCCCAGGAATACAATGTTTGTGATACACATGGTACAGCTAACCTATCTAGATGATGTGAATATGCTAGACTTCCTAATTGCAGAATATTCACTATCAATCCTGAAGTTACCGGTTCGTGCAGAATTAAGCTTCAGCTGTTAATTGTTTTGAAGCCGCTGTAAATTACTGCTTTTCCCCTTTTTTCCTCCCCCACCCCTTTTTTTTAATGGGCGGGGGTGCCTGTTAAGATTAAGATTAGATATGTTGGATGATATTCTCACGTGTTCAGTGTGGAAAACAAAACAAGTACATGCTTTAGAGGCAACGACAATGAAATCCTTTTGAAATGTGTATTAATATCATTTAATAAAATAACTAGTTCTGAAGGTTTGACATTTTTCTTTGAGATTTGGGGCATTGACCAAAGGCTCCTGACTTCTGTGGTGAGCACAACTAGGAGGGAGCGTCTCCAGGAGCTGAAACTGCTGCTTTGTGGAGCAGGCCTATGGTTGGAAAAGCTAAATTTTCTCCAGCAAAGACCCTTCTACTTGACTGTCCAGGGCTGAAGGTGAAACCAACGACAGGATGCAGAAAGGAAGCCTGGATGTATCTCTGAAGATCTGATTGTATTGGCTTTTGGTCTAAGTGCAAGGGGGATTGAGGGGACTGTGTATGCTCCTGCACATCTCTGAGGCACACCGATACCACAGACCACCCGTCTTGTCCCTTCCTTGTGACCACTTACACTTGCCTCTCTTCCAACCTTTCCTTTTTTCTTTTTTATCTTTGTCCCCAATAGTATGTTTTTGTTTTCCAGTTTAATAAAGTATGGTTTCCTTTGTTGTGTGGTTGACTTTCCCCCTCTCACACTGATCTTACCCAGGTGTCCCCTTTGACTTAAGCATTCAGTGTCACTGAAGGCAATCTGAGCCTCTCAGATCTCCATGACCTTGTGGGTTTTCTCTTTGATCCTTTGTGTAATTCAATTTTGAAAAGGGATGATGGGTGGGGTGAAGTCAAGATGTTCAAGGAGTGGTTGGTAATGAAGTGGGATATATTGTATGGATAATTATTTGTGTATGTCTTCAAAAAGTTGTACAATTTTTAAGTGAGGAAGCATTTTTAAAGCAAGCGTAGAGGGGGCTCCTAGGTGACTCGGTTGAGTGTCCAACTCTTGATTTTGGCTCAGGTCATGATCTCAGGGTTGTGAAACAGTCCCACATCGGGGTCCACACTGGGTGTGGAGCCTGCTTAAGATTTTCTGCCCCCCTCCCCAAAATAGATTTAAAGCAAGCGTAGAGTTGGGGGAGGCAGTGTTGGTAGGGTTCCTTCTGGTCAATTCTTTACTCGCATCTACCCTTCTTGCTGCATGTTGGCAATCTATCATATATAAGCCACACTTAACCCCCTTGTCTTGCCCCATCCCTTCTTCATGCTCCAGTGAAGCTTAATAAATGGAATGTTAGCTTTAAGGGGTAAAGAGAGAGTCACTGCATCTTGACCCTGCCTGGGTCACTGACAGGGAAGAAGGCTCTAAATAGCAACCTTCATTACATGAAGCTACACGCATGTGTCACCGGACACTTCAGAAATAGCAGCCTAGGAACACACCCAGTATGTAGAGTGTACAATTGTACTGGCTGCTTATGAAATCTGGCTCACCTTTTTCCCTGTCCCCTCTTGGAACTTTGACTTGCCCAACTGATTTCTTTCTCCATCTCCAAGGAAGCAACAGCTTTTAGACTTCCACATTTGTCTTTCTGGGCATGTTGAAAATGTGTAACTTCATCCCCTGGAATTTTTATTTAAGCCAATCTTGGATAAGAGGGATGAGTTACCCCCTGTGTATGTAGACAGTAACACAAACACCATCCAAATGGGTTTTGGGGTATTGGGGCGTTTCTCATACTTGTTTATGAGTAACTATATAGACAAGTTGGGTCAGCTGCTGTTCACGATTGCTGAGTAATAACTCACTGAGGCTGCATAGACAAAGCCACAAGAGATTCGCCCGCAAGTGAGATAGCAGCTCTTAAGTAAACATCCTGTTCTCCCTTACCCCTTATAGAAGTAAGGAGAAGCACACGTGCTCTAAAGGAAGGGAGCAAGTGCACTGTAAAACTAAGAAATTGCTTCTAACTGGGCCGGGGCTCGGGGCGGGGGGGCACATTTTATGCTTAGTTACAAGTCTGGGGGAAAGGGCATAAGAAGGCTGATACCTACTTGATACTGCAGTTACCTTATGGCACTATGATTTTATTTTGTTGTTTTCTCTCTCTTTGTTACTCAAGAGTCAAAAGTTGAAAATACAGATGTGGGTGGAGGGGCTAGTGACCAGTATCCAACAGAGATAACAAGTATGGGCTGCAGGGTTTTGTTTGATTCAAAAGGGTGCTGGGTAAACCAGTCTGCCCTGAGTCTGTTGGGTTCATAGCAAATTAGATGTTCCAGCAACTTTACTTCTTCCTCATCCCTGTTCTGTCCCTTCTATTTTTGCAAATTACTCAAATCCTTTGCTGCATAATTTGTGGGAAAGAGGAGCTAAGAGGACTTGAAACTTTTTGCATTTTCCTTTCCATATTTCAGTTGGAATGGGTAGAAAGAAGATACACTGCGTCCAGTTCCTTGGCTAGGAATCCTTTACACTTAGGTGAAACAACACTTCACATCCTGTATCTTCTAGATAGCCAATCATTGCCAAGGGCAATAGAGCTTAGTAAAGGATTAATTTGAAATCTTGGTTATTTGGTAGTGGGCCTTAGTTGTACAATGCCTTCTAGAGATGTATCTAGGACTTTCTTTCACAGTACTTTGCTCTTGCCTTTGTTTTTTACTTCAACATCAACCTAAGCTGACACATCCCAGCACTGGCTCCTGTGTTTGGCCTCACCTGACATATCAGGGTTATTTAAAGGTGGCGGGTAGGGGTTGGGGGGAGAGGATGGAGATGGCTATCTTTGTTTCTCTTCTACAGACTCAAGAGTTGTCTTGGAGAAAGGAAGTCATAGTAGAGATTCTAGGTAAGCCGAAGGCTTTGTTTTCAAAACAGTTCAACTCATCCCCATGCCCTGGTAGGAAGCTTCCCCCCCCCCCACCTTTTTTTAATCAGCAAATGTGGCTAGACCAAGTTTTTTGGTATCTTAAAGCAAAGTTAAAAGCTTGGCCCCATCCTACATCTTCATCACTAAGTTGTGGGGGGTTCTGCTTGTCTCATTTTGTTTTTAAATAAATTTAACCTCCCCACACCCACTGTACTTTTAGCCACTTGGCCAGTTCTCTCGGCTTCAAAAGCATTTGGTGACAATGACAGAAACCTTTCTTTATATATTTTACCCTCTTAAATTTCTCTTTTTTACCTCTGGCATCTTTACTTCTTAGGTGCAGGGAAATTTTGTGAAGAGCTAAGATAGATTTTGAGGTATACGTTGATCCTGATGACAAGTGGAAATGTACTTTACCTTCAATGGAGAGCATTCTTACATACAGTTTAGGAATATAAAAATAATACCTGTTCAACCAAAGCTTTAGCTAACTTGTGATGTTTATTCTAAAGGTAGAGTAAAGCTGAGGATTTCCCAAAGTGTGACCAATGGTCTAGCATACCCTTAACTGAGGATTGCCTTTTCTCTGGACTTCTCTGAAATCTGCTGGCATGATTTCCTAAACATTTAATTTTCCTTAACTTTGGTTAGAGAAAATCTTCTTTTCTTGGCTTTTTATGAGACCCCTCCTTTCACTCTATATTAAAGGCCTCTTTGGCCCTACAAGTGATGTACCCTGCAGAGAAAAAGGGAACTCTGCTACCAAACATGATGCATTAGGACTATTCTAGTTGCTGAAAGGCAGCATGGCATAACAGGCTTTGGATTCAGATGGGCTAGGGCTTGACTTCTCTGAGGATCATTTTCCATGTTTTAAAGGGAGCATAAGAAGAGCTATTACTTGTCAGAGTTGTTCTTGGAATTAAATAAGATAGGGTGTAGCATTTGGCACATAGTAGGTGTTTGGTGATATTCTGGGTGGAAGATAAGAGCAGTTTTAGGGATTGATGATTCCCAGACAGACTAATGGGTTAAAATTCCCTGAGGCTGAGACATGGTAGTCACAAATCAGAAATTGTAGAACCGGTGATAAATGTATCGGCCCTCGCTGTCTTGCTCTTCTTTGCTTGCTGGCTGGCTTGTTTCCAACAAGAAGAATGGAATAACTCCTGACACTCCTTCCTTCCTCCACTGCAACACAAGTTACAGAGGTGATGATGTAGTCGTTGATTGATGGGCATCCCATGAGCCCTCAGTCCAATGCATTGCACAACGTAAGTCAGTACATGTTTGAGGGATGAGTGCAGGGAGCTGTCATAACAGTGTAGCCTGTTTATTCTACAATCCCTCTACTATCCTAAAAGAGGGCAAGGTAGAACGATTAAAGAATGTATGTGTCAATAAATGTATCCTTTGGAGTTTTAAGTCAATACAGTGATTGATACATTCTTAATTCAATGATTATTGAGAACCTATCATTTTGTTACCTGTAATACAACCTTCCCATCCCTTTTGGTGCAAAGCCATGGGAAAAGTTCTGCCTGTTGTCACACTTTCTGAATATCATTTTTAAATCCTGTCTGCCTTTTTCCAATCCTCCAGACCACCCCTCCCACACACAAGTAATTTTCCTCTTCCACAGTCTTGTCTATTTATTTTTGTATTTCAGGGTGTCAGGAGATGGAACCAAGATCCGGAGTGGTGCCTGTGATTCAAGTCAACTGCTGCCTGCCCCAGAAAGAACCTCTGTCCTCTGGAAGCCTAGATTAAACAGCTTTCTCTGACAGCACTTCCTCCACAATCCTTGATTCCACTACCATTGGAAACTTGAGAACCATCTCTTACCATCCCCACCCCCAGGTGAGGGGACGAAGGGGAGTTACTGAGAACCTTACAGCTGCCGCCAAGTCCATTTCTCCTCATACTTTACCACAAATGTGACCGTGTTTCAATTTTTACTGTGTAAAAATAAATCAAATATACCTAGTCCTCTGTCCTAGATAATTCAGGGAGTGGGAAGAGAAGAGCTGAAGGAAGTGGAGAGCTGGGATGGGAATGAGAGGCAAGGTCTTGTGTAGGAAGCAGACAGCTAAGATTCTAGGGTCAGGCACCTCTTTCTGAAGTGATGGGGGAGTATATTGGAAGTAAACTCTCTTGCTAGAGAAAGCATGGTGTGATAGGAGATTGTAAGACTTGGATTCAAAATCTAGCATCAGCACTTACTGTTTTACCTTAAGTCACTTATATTATCCTACCTTAAATTCTTCCATGTGTAAGATTAAGAGGTCTCTAAGGTCTCTCTTAAGCACTAGACTATGAAGAGATTCCATGAAGTGCCCTCTGCAGATTCTTTGCTCCAGCCCCAACGCTGTTAAATTCATTTATTCTAACAGCTTGTCGCCATTGTAGCCCATTACCGTGTACCACGCACGATTTACATGAAATTAACTTCAACAACTGGGAGTGTTGCTAGTATTATTCCCACTTTATAGATGAGGAAATTGAAACTTAGAAGAAGTTAGGTAATCTACCTAAAATTACACAGTGAATGGGAGATAGATCCAGGATTTACGCTGTTTCCAAAGACTATGCTCTTACCTGTTTCCTACCTGCCGGTAAAGACTGTGTAAAAGAAAACCTATGGTTAAAAGGAAATGAGTATTTCCTGTCCGTTTTTCTCCCACTCTCATTTCTCAAGAGTTTTCCTGCCCCAGCCCTCAAAGCTGCAAGATAGGTTATTGCTACTTTGGGCTGAAACTTCAGGTTTCGGGATTGCGGGTGTGTGTAACAGTTTAGGTCTTCCGTTCACCCGGAACCACCCACACCAAAGCTCGTGCTGTGTGGGGCGTACCTCTTCGGAGTTCCTGGAGGTGGTCCCAGGCTAGAGTGGCAGCTACAGGAACCAGTAGGCATGGGAGTTGTTGGGCCGGAAGCCAATGAGGAATCCGGTGAAGGAGAAACGACGGTAATTTGTTTAAGGATGTAGGCACGGGTTTGAAGGAACATGGGGTTTTATCAGAGGTGGCGGCAGCTGCGGTTCCCAGGCTTGCAAACCTGCGGGCTACACACGGTGCGTGAGGTACCCAAAAGTTAGGAACCGCGTCGGACCCAGTCCAGCTGAGGTCCAAGATGTAGGCTCTCAACCGAGCCTGACACCCCAAACCGTAGCTGCCGTGAGTCCCTGGACCCGGCTACCCTAAGCCCTTAGTTGCAGCCATCTTTTTCCTAGGGTCAACAGACTGGGCCGCATAGGACTCCCAGCCCACTATCACCCAGTCCTCTTACAGACTAGGGTTAGGACCAAGATCCCTTCAATATTCTCACCTCCCACCACCCCCAATCTCAGAAAGGAATGATGGAACCCGTGTTTCCTCCTAACCTCTTTCCCTCCAGGCAGCTGTGCCGACCCCTCCACACTGGTTGGCAGAGCGGCTTGGCCTTTTTGAGGAGCTATGGACTGCTCAAGTAAAGAGGTTAGCAAGCATGGCACAGAAGGAACACCGGACTATTAAGATATCACTCCCTGGAGGCCAGAAAGTGGAGGCTGTGGCATGGAACACAACCCCTTACCAACTAGCCCAGCAGATCAGGTACCAGACCCATTTTATACCTGCCAGGATTATCCTTCCTCTGTACTTCGCAGGACCTGAGCAGGGAATGAAAATTCTGCTTGCTCCTATTCCATCCTTATCAAGACTGCCTTTTCCTGAGGATTCATTTTTATCTCCATTAGTTTCAGTGTCTACGCTTCATTTATTATCCATCGGGAAAAGAAATGATAGGTTTTATTGCTCTGGTGACACCTTTCCCCATTTTCAAGTTTGGAGTTGTTGAGAGATTAGTCCCTCTCTTCCCCTGTGGATTGTACCCATGTCTTTTTCTTTATCCTCATGCCTCCCCTCGCCCAGTTCAACACTGGCAGATACTGCAGTGGCTGCTCAGGTGAATGGAGAACTTTATGATCTGGAGCGGCCCTTGGAGACAGATTCTGACCTCAGGTTTCTGACATTCAATTCTGCAGAGGGCAAAGCAGTAAGTTTCTTCCTTTTCAGGAATACCGTGGGAACTAAACT